CTGTTTTTATTGTTGATGTTTGTTTTAAATTATAGCCATCCTGATGGGCATAAAGTGATGTCTTGTGGTTTTGATTTGCATTTCTCTAATGACTAATGATATTGAGCATCTTTTCATGTCCTTATCGATCATCTGTATATATTCTTTGGAGAATTGACTGTTCAGATCCTGTGCACATTTTAAAGTTATTTGTCTTTTGTTGATTTCTAAGAGTTCTTTATATATGCTGGATTCTAGGCCCTTACCTTGTATGATTGGTAAGTATTTTCTCCTATTTGCCATGATGCCTTTTCACTTAATTTCTACTGTTTTCAAAGCACAAAGTTTTACATTTTGTGGAAGTCAAACTTAACCTTTGTTGCTTGTGCATTTGGTATTGTGTTTAAGAAACCATTGCCTTTAGGGCACCTGGGTGGCTCAGTCGTTAAGCATTTGACTCATAGTTCATGAGTTTGAGTCCCACATCGAGCCCTGCTTCAGGTGAGCTTGTGCCCTGCTTGGTGAGAGCACGAGCCCTGCTTTGGGTAAAACACGAGCTCTGGGTGAGCCCCAGTTCTCTATTTCTTTCTCTGCTCCTCACTCACTTGTGCCTGCTCTCTCTCTCAAAAAAAAAAAAAAAAAAAAAAAAAAAAAAAAAAAAAAAAAAAAAAAAAAGAAACCAGTGCCTTAATCACGGTCACAATGACGTACACCTGTTTTCTAAGAGTTTCAGCTCTCATATTTAGGGCTTTGACCCATTTTGAGTTTAATTTTACATATGAAATCAGATAAAATCACAATTTTATTCTTTTGCATTTGGATATCCAGTTGTCCCAGCATCATTTGTTGAAAAGACTGTTCCCAATTGCTTCTCATTAGAGTTCAGTGTTAAATTGAAAAGAATCAAAGAGTCCAATTTTATGATATTCTTTGGTAATGTATTCCAGTTTTCTCTAAGAATTACTTAAAAAAAAATTTTTTTTAATGTTTATTCATTTTTGAGAGACAGAGAGGGACAGAGTGCGAGCAGGAGAGGGGCAGAGAGAGAGGGAGACACAGAATCCAAAGCAGGCTCTAGGCTCTGAGCTATCAGCACAGAGCCCGACACGGGGCTGACCCTACAAACTGTGAGATCATGACCTGAGCTGAAGTCAGATGCTCTAAGAATTACTTTTTAAAATATTCAGTTTAGGGACATCTGGGTCGCACAGTTGGTTAAGCGGCTGACTTCGGCTCAGGTCATGATCTCGCAGTCTGTGAGTCTAGTCCCACATCTGGAGCCTGCTTCAGTTTCTGTGTCTCCCTCTCTCTCTGCCCCTCCTCAGCTTGCACTCTGTCTCTGTCTCATTCAAAAATAAATAAATGTTAACATTTAAAAAAAAATACTCAGTCTAAATTTCATTTGCTTTTTACTTTAATGAAAATTGATAGTTTTTTAGGTTATTCTTATCCTTTTTAGAAGTTTTAGAAAAGTAAAACTTTAAAAAAGTAAACTTTAAAAAAGTAAACAAGTCCTGCATTTTTGGGGGCAGCTTTTATAAATCAGAAAAATAGACTTATTCCTTTTATAATATTTTGTAATGGTTTTACACAGCATATTTTGACATTTTTTTGTTTTTTTTCTCCCATTTAGCTTATAGGTGTGTCTTTATGATCTTTTTGTAATGTTTATTGTATTGCTTCTTTCTCTTAACTTTTGATTTAAAAAATTCCAAATTTTGAGAAAATTTGAAAGAATAGTACATGAATGTCAAATTACCTTTCTTCTAGATTCATCAGTTATTAATATTGTACCACATTTGTGTGTATTTTCTCGCTCTCCATCTGTCTGCTTTTTTATCTGATGTTGCAGACATCATGCTTTCACCCACAAATTCTTTTGCATGTGTCTCCTAAAAACAAGTATATTCTCCTACATAACTATAATACCAGTATTACTCCCAATAAAGTTTAATATTGTAAAATATAATAGTATCAAATATACATTAAATACTAATATATATATATTTTTTTATCTCTTCTCAAACTATTATTTATGGCTATATTTTTCTTTTTGGTTTTCAGATTTAAGCTCTAATCGAGGATCATACATTACGTTTGGTCTTTATTTTTTTTTATTCCTTTACTGCACAACCATCTCCTGGCTTTTTTTTTTTTTTTTCCAGGTTATTGACTCTTTTTTAAGATCCCATGCCACTTTTCTGTAGATTTCCTACCATTTGGATTTGTCTGATTATTTTTTCATGATTAGATTCAGGTGAAACATTTTTTGCCTAGAATACTACCTTGGTGATAAAGATGCATATTTTAGAATTTGTTGAATAACTTCTAGGAGAATAACACTAATAAATGGAATATTTCATTCTCCACTACCCGTGGCAAATAAACCCAATTAAATGAAATTAAGACAGTCAAAGAATCTGTAGTTATTGGGAACATCAGACTTCAAATTTTTGACTTGATGTTTTTCACACTGTGGCAAACTTAGTTTTTAATTAAAAAAAATTTTTTTTTTAACATTTATCTATTTTTGAGATATAGCGGCAGAGCATGAGCAGGGGAGGGGGAGAGAGACACACACACACACACACAGAATCCGAAGGAGGCTCCAGGCTCTGAGCTGTTTGTTAGCGCAGAGCCCGATGCGGGGCCTGAACTCATGAACTGTGAGACCATGACCTGAGCCGAAGTCGGATGCTCAACTGACAGCCACCCAAGAGCCCCAAGCTTTTAATTTTTTAAATTAATTAAAAAAAATTTTTTTGAAAGAGCAAGGGGCAGAGAGAAAGAATTCCAGGAGGGGTAGAGGGAGAGTGAGAGAGAGAGAGAGAGACAGAGAGGGAGAGAGAGAGAGAGGGAGAAGTGGGGCTCACCCAAAGCGGGGCTCGAGCTCACAAACTGTGTGTGAGATCATGATCTGAGCCAAAGTCAGATGCTTAATAACTGGGCCACCCAGGCTCCCCTTAGTTTTTTTTTTTTAAATTATCACTTTGATTATATGAAATGCTAGCCTACTGGAAGAGCACTGGTCTGGATGGCAGAAAACTTGGGTGCAGGAGATCTGAATTATATTACTTATTTGTTTAAGAAAATACTTATTGATCACTTCCTTATATCATACAGTTGCTGTGTATGAGAGTTGGATTCCAATATTGATTGCATTTGGCCTTTAGGATGTCATTTACTTTTTCTAGAACAGGTGTAATAGTAGAAGCCTATTATAGTCCATTGAGGAATAACGTAGAAGAAAGTAGAAAGACTAAATGCATACCAGTCCTTAGGTTAGATGTAGACATTAGAAGACTGAATTGAGGGAATTTCTTGTCTTTTTTCTCTTCCACTACCTCCTTCCCCTCTTTCTCTCTTCTTTTCTTCCTTTAATATTGAGGCTGATGGTAAGGAACTACTAGTGAGGTTGAAATACAAAGGAGAGGAATAATTAGCATTATAAGATAGTAGAAAATGGGAATAAGAGAACACAGCTGGACTGATAAGCTTTAAATAGGTGAAGCCATACCATTTCATTTAAGAGGAAATGTATAGAAATAAGTGAAGGTATATAAGAAGAGAGGATTAGGAAATTGAAGGAGTCTGTTGGCTTTTATTTTTACTGATAATATGAGTTAACTTCATCTGCTAATAGTGAATTTGGGCAAGAGATTTGAAAAGAGTTGAGGGTTTGTAGTTGACCAAGAATAAATAAAAGAATTGATGAGTAGTTTTAGTAGTTTTGAGAACCTCAGAATGGGTTTAATTGAGCCAATTCTTCACTTCTGCGTTTTCCACCATCAGATTTTCCCCATATGAAGAAGTAGAAGTGAATTGTGTGGAAGTTGATTTGAAGATTGGAGGTTTGAAGGAGCTGTGGGGTGAAGGATAAAGAGGGGATGGGAATTTAGGGTGCTAATGAGAGGACAGTGAAATGATTGATGATTGCTAGTCTGTTGAGAAGAGGAACATGTGGTCAGGAAGAAATGATAGACTCAGTAAAAGTAGAGGGATGGGTCATGGGATGCTTTGGTAAGGTTAAAGAATAGGTAAGAGATAGGTATTTACTGCCAGAGATTGGTGTTTAGTTTGAGATGGAATTAAGTATGAGTGATGCCAAGGTCCAGGTTGGGGTCACTGGGAATGGAATATTGAGATGAATGTAATTGTATTTGTTTACGGGAAGATTAGGCAAAGTGTGCACATTATATAAATTGTGTCTTGAAATTGCCCAGGATAATGGCAAGATTTGTGTTGGTAAGGGAGAAGGTTCTTAGAGCTTAAGGCTTCATCGATTATGGGGAGTGCGGAAGAAATGGGTTTGATAGAACATTACAGTCTAGCATAGCTGGATGGCATGTCCCTCAAGGAGAAGTGGATTTTATGCAGATGGAGGAGTATAGCCTAGAAGCAGCAATAAGAGAGCTAGGAGAATATTGACCCTTCTCTCTTTCTGGTGTGTATTGAGTGTTAGAGAAAGGGCCACATTCTTTAAATTGGATATTACAGAGCAAGTAGTTTTAGCAAGAGAAATCAAAGTTTGTACTGTTAATGATTCAGAGGTGCAAGACTATATAGAATATTTAAAAAATGAAAGTATGAAGGTTTCAGAGAGCCCAGTAGAATTGATTAGGAATAAAAAAGAAGCAGGATGATAGACAGGGTTGGTGGTTTCAAGACTCACTGTGTGATAGGGTCCCTGTATATTGTAGGATTAGGAAAAACAAGCAATAATGTTTGTTTAATTTTGAATGGGAGAAAAGCATATTAGTGAAATTACTGAAATGTAATACAGTTAAAAATGATAAATATAGCCTGGCAATTTTTCACTGTTAAAAATGAAAATGGGTTAATTCCAATTTGCATGTAATAGTATGTCCACTGGGTGTCACTGTGGCCTCATATTTAGTTATATAAATAAACTGCTATAAGAGCTCTGTGTTTGTGGAGTCAGTATTATATGGGTCTTTTCTCTGCTTATTCTTCCTTTTTGCAGTGAATTTTGCTAATATTTTTTTTCTGTTTATTTGTAGGTACAGTTATTTATCACCGCTGCAAATAAAGGAGATACTTATCCCTAAACTGGCTGCTCCAAACTGCCTTGTTATTACTTGGGTGACCAATAGACAGAAGCACCTGCGTTTTGTAAAGGAAGAACTTTATCCTTCTTGGTCTGTTGAGGTAGTCGCTGAATGGCACTGGGTAAAAGTAAGTTCAGAAATTAACTTGTTATATAGCGTGCCATGTAAGTCACATAACTTACACATAAATGTAGCATGTAATTTTTAATGCTTAGCATGTTACTGCTCTACTCCTTTAACACGGTCTAATTAAAACTTTTAATTTGATACTTTTTTTTTTTTTTTTTTTTTTTTTTTTACTAAATACTTTTATTTTCTTATTCTTGGAGGCTTTTTGCTTATTTGTTCTGTGTCTTTTTATAGTAGAGTCCCAACGTGCTGGCCTTAGGAAGTCACTCAGGGAGATATCAGGATGACATTTTAAAAAGCTCTGATGTCTGTAGTTTAAAAACAACAAACAAAAACTTTGGAAAATCTGTTTAGCACTAAACATAGAAATAGTCTTACCCTTCATTTTCTTCCTCTTTTCACATCCACAATTTCAGTCACCGTTTGCAACTTCTTTCCTTCTTTTTTTTTTTTCTTTTTCTTTTTTCTTTTGTTGCTGGGGATGGGAGAGAGAATACCCAAGTAACTCAGCATGGAAGAGGTGGAAAGAACCAAGAACCTTACATACTTTGAATTTTAACATAGGTCCTCAGTGCCTATGTGCTGCTATGCCTATTTTTGAAAGAAATGATTCCAACTCTTGGATTGGTTGACTGGTCTTTAATATCTCTGCTTGCTATAAAAATAAAAAAATACAGAAAAATAAGGCATCAGTTCAGAGTCCGTTGGACATCTTTTTAAAGATTCTGTCTACTTAGATGAATCCTGCAGAAGCACTCCTATATTTTAAAAAGATAAGCCAACTTGTCAATTGAATGTTTAATATTTATATAGCTGATATATTCATTTTAGACAGGAGAGTTCTATGTTTATGTTCTTCCTATGTATTTTGTAGTCTACTGGTATATCTTCTTTTATTTTTTAAAGTTTATTTATTTATTTTGAGAGAGAGAGAGCATGAGTAGGAGAGGGGCAGAGAGGGAGAAAGAGAATCCCAAGCAGGCTCTGTGCTGTCAGTGCAGAGCCTGACATGGGGCTTGATCCCACGAACCGTGAGATCATGACCTGAGCCAAGATCAAGAGTTGGGACCCTTGACCAACTGAGCCACTAAAGGCTCTTCTGGTATATCTTCTAAAAGCTGTGTATATTGTTTATTTGCACCTATTTTAATGGACTTGGAAAAAAACATTAATAGTTGTATCTGTGCTTTCATGTTGTACCCTGGGCTAAGCTTTGGTTGATTTGGTTGATGTGGACATTGACAGGAATATAAAACCCATTCTACCTTGTACATTATTACAGGTTTTTTATTGTCAGAAACTGGGGCCAAAGTCAGGGAAAAGGTACCTTCTGAAATCAAAACCAATAAAATGTTAGCACATAAAAGCTAAGTTATTTATTTGTAGTAGTAATCAGTTCTGAGAGATGATATGATAAGCCTAGAGTTTAAGACAAAAATGCAGTAAGTGATATGAAACACTATTAGGTAACTATATGTACTGTTATAACAGAAGGAGTAATTTGCATGGAATATAGAAGATATCCAAAGAATAAGAACTTGTCTGTATTTGTACAGCACTATGTGAAAGAGATCTATCTCTTATGGGTCCTAGAGGTGATAAAAGGACTTTACCGATTTGGCTTTTTAGGTATCTTGATGTTGAGTAAAGTGTTCCATAGATCATAGATATGAATATTCTGATAGTGAAAATATGTATTTCAATGGTTAATAAATTGATATTGTTATTATAGTGTTTTCAGTTTGATTAGCTTAAGTGAGTCTTTGAGAGTATAATAACTCCAGGTGAAATGGTAAAATTGAATTTCTGGGTTTATAATGCCAAGGGATTAGACTAAGTATTGTCTATTTTATCAATCCCTGAGTTGTTTTATTACTAATTCTCGCTCTGACAATGTTTATGACACTATTTTCTGTGAAGGAATATACTTTATTGTAATCTACTTATTTATATTATCAGTAATCAGTAAATGTTATTTGAGTGAATAAATGAATTAATGATGACATGGCTTCCAGGAATAAATTTTAATGAAAAGTAGATTTTTATGTGTAAAGTGATATTTAAAATATTTTAGTCCCTTATAGTTGCTCTGTCTAATGTGATAGTCACTAACCATATGTGGCTCTTCAGCACGTGAATTACGGCTGTTCAAAATTGAATTGATGCTAAGTGTAAAATGTACATTGGATTTCAAAGGCAGTATGAAAGAAAAAATGTGATATACCTCAGTAACTTTTTGAATTGATTACATATTAAAATAATATTTTGGATATGTGAAATTAAGCTAAATATATAATTAAAATTATTTTTACCACATGCTTCCAACTTTTTTTTTAATGTTTATTTATTTTGAGAGAGTGTGTGCATGTGCGCACTAGGGAGGGGCAGAGAGAGAGGGAGGGAGAGAGAATCTCAAGCACGCTCAGCGCTGTCAGTTCAGAGCTGAAGTGGGGCTTGAACTCATGAACCATGAGATCATGACCTGAGCTGAAATCAAAAGCCGGACACAACCGATTGAGCCACCTAGGCGCCCCAACTTCTCACGTTTTTAATGTTGCTAGTAGAAAATTTAAATTACAAATGCGGTTTGTATTTGTGGTTTACATTATATTTTTATTAACACTAGCCTAGAGGTTTAATAATTTTTTTTTCTTTGGTGGAAATTGTATAGTGATAGATAAAAAGCCAGACTCTTTCCTGGGTATTTACAGATGTATGGTTTAATTTTGTTTTGTTTTTTTGACTCCTCCTATCAGATCACCAATTCAGGAGAGTTTGTGTTCCCATTAGATTCTCCACACAAAAAGCCTTATGAAGGTCTTGTATTGGGGAGAGTTCGAGAAAAAACTGCTGTACCATTAAGGTAGGAAAGATGATTTTTCAAAACTGTATAAATGTATACAATTATACATTTTATAAAATTAACGGCATAATGATCATTGATTTTCCTTAAATTTTTACATTTTTGAAAATCTGAAAATGGCCCAGACCAGAAAAGTATGAATGGTATGGCACATGAAATTTTATATTATCCTTTGTTTTATATAGTGTGTAACTGCCATTATTGAAGAAAAGGAAATTATCACTAATGTCTCAATACTTAAATTGTTGATTTTGATTATTTTTTCTATTCTTGAATTTATTTTTAAATTCAGATAGTATTTGAAAAGTAAAAAAAAAAATCAAGGCAACTGTGGCTTATATATGAAAAATTGTCCTTTAAAGTATAATTTACATTGTTGTTTTGTTTTAATTAGGAATGCAGATGTAAAAGTGCTTCCTATTCCAGATCACAAGTTAATTGTCAGTGTGCCCTGTACTCTTCACTCACATAAGCCACCGCTTGCTGGTATGTTTTTATAAAATAGAATTGTTATGACTTCTGTCAAATTGAGAAAAGGATTAAATTTAGTATTTGGTGTAGACATTTGGAAATTAAATCAGATGTTTATTTTTATTAGTTCTCTAAAATTTTATAGAAGAATTTATGAATAGTGTTTTTTGTTTTTATTTTGCTGCAAAAGCTTTATTGTTTTCATTTGGTCCATGACTTGAGAGGGGGCTCCATGATGGTTAAAGAGCTGCCTAGTGGCTGCAGGGAGAAGTGCAGGCAGAAGCTCTGACATCAGGGGGTGTGGAGGGGTCCCTCAAAGGCTGCTGGGCTCCAGAGGCTCCTAATTGTGCTTGAGGGTGAGCCTTTCAAAGAGATACTTGGCCTTGCCCAGCCCAGCTGGTGGCCATCCAGCCTGTGGAGGTTAGTTAGGTGGTTACCCAACTTCTTGATGAATTTTACCTCCTCATGTGGAAGTGGCTCTCTGGGAAGTTACAGAGATGGGGATTTGTGTACACAGAGCCCAGAGCATGCATATCTAGAAGGGCCTGGTTCAGGTTCTTCTTCAGGGCCATGACAACTTCCATGGCAATGAGGGCTTTGCCTCACTCATCCTGGGAGGGTTTCTTCATGCTTTGGCAGATGGCACAGCTGCTGCACTGGTTTTGCGTCTTCCAAGAGATGCTTGGCCAACTTGTGGAAGAAGTGCCCAGGCCCTCCAAAGTCATATTGTCACAGTCAAAATAGAAGCCCTAAGAAGTAGGTGTAGGAGGCCCACAGATCCAGGTTGATCAGGTGGTTGACACTTCAGTAGAATAATTCTGACAAATCTGGGAGCTCATTGTTGGTCAGCAATAAGGAGCTAACCACAAAAAATGGTGTTGGCTGGTCCTAGAGGTTGTGCCTGGTAAGAAGGTTGGAAAGTAGTTAGAAGGTGGTCAGAGACTGGTTCCATCTAAAGACTGTTGAATAAGATTATGAACTGTTGATGCGCCGCATAGGTTCATTTTATTTCACCTCTGCTTTTCCCCTTAATACCATTTATTTAGGTTCCCCTTGGTTGTTACTGCCCCACTGTCCTTGATAGACTGATGGGGCATCTGAGGACTGTAGTTCTACTAGTGGCTTTATTTTACTATGAGGGCTCTGTCCCTAGCTTGTTCTGAAATCAGGTGCTTAGAATAGCAGTCAGAGACATGGTTAGAATCCCCTTGATACTTGGTAGAGACTCAGTTTTATGTTGAGCTGGTGTTGCTATTCTGAACCTCTGGAAAGGTAATTGCTGCAGGCTACGGTTCTTACTAGTCTTAATGCGTTGGTGTAATGTTCATCATTCAGCAAAACTAAGCACCAAGGAATAGTGGAAAGGTTTGGATTTGGAGATTGACTAACATGAGTTTGAATCCTGACTCTGCTACTATATGTTACTCTAACATGTTCTACCTGAAAGTCCTCATTTAAAGAGAGACTAATGGTATTTAATCTTTTAGAGTTGTGAGGATTGATTATAATGTATTTGAAATTCTGTAGCATATAGTGGAAGGTTAGTATATGCTAAATTTTTCAAGTGATAGTTTAAAAAAATAGAATTGTAAGTTCATGAGAGACACCAAATTTGATATGAGTTATCTATTAAAAATTTTCTTTAGGAATATCTATTGTATTGATTTTGTGATCCTCACTTAAAAAACCAAAAACTTTCAAGATGCTGCTCAGGAAAACTATAAGGTTCCCAACCTATCATATTATTTTGTAGAATATGGGATAGAGCTAGAATACATAGGAAAGTGAATATAAATTCCCAAGGTAATTTATATTGATAACACTTAGAATTTCTTTTATCTTAAATTGCTTATACAGAAGAGTCTTGTAGTGTTGTAGTGTTGCTTAATTTGAAAAATATTCAGATGTTTACCTGATGATCCATTCTTTGACTTAGAGAAATGCTGAATGAGTAATTGTCTTTAAGCCGTGTACTATCGTAGACTCTTTAATGCATTAAATATGTGACTTAAATGAAAAGTGAGATTGTACTGTTCTTTGAGAAGAAAATAATGGTTGGCACCAGTTATATTTGATGGAGGAAATCTAATTTGTATTCTTTTCATTTGAATTTTATCAGTTAAGTATCAAAGAATAATTTAGTGTTTTTCTTAGGGATTTTTTTTTTTTTTTAGTTTTTATTTATTTAAGTAATCTCTACACCCAGAATGGGGCTCGAACTTATGACCCTGAGATCAAGAGTTGCATGCTCCTCCTACTGAGCCAGCCAGGCACCCCAGGGCTTATGTTTTTACTTTTAAAAATCTAAATGCTAAGACCTAAACTTTCATGCCAAGATTATAGTTAAAATATTCATCAATTCCTTGTACATAGAATAAAATAATGTTTAAATATTAGTGTTAAGAAGCAAGGTTTTAAAACAGTAAGTAAAAATTAGTCTTTTATTAATGCTAATAAAAATTAGTTTTATAGCCTGTGTATGAAGTGTAGTTCTGCCATATTCCCAGTAGAGAGCAGCACAAACATATTTTTAGGATTTGGAACATTTTGAAAAGAAAGATTTTTGGGGGGGAAAAATCTATATGACTTGATATATGTAATCCTTATGTTTTAGTTAGGTAGTGGTAGACAAGAAGTATTTGTAATTCTGTATTTTTGAATTCATGTTACTATGTCTAGCAAGTGCACGTACAGAAGTACAGAGCCATACAAACTAAAGCCACCAAAAAACAATTTTCAGATTTCTGACTGTAATTTACTCTGAAATCATAACTCTGGGATTTGGGATACTACATGTCCTATATATATGCTTAGAACTTACATGTAAAGGTTCTTAAACTGTTTTGTGCAAATTTGTAAAATGAAATGTTCTTTTACTTCTAGAAACACTAAGATTTTTAAAAATTTTTAATTGATTTCTACTGCTAACTATAAAAAATGTTTTAAAAGATACATATATAAGTCATAAATAGCTATAACTTATCACATAACCTTATAAATGTTTATTAAATTTAAAGATTTAAGGTGGGAAAACTATGAAAGTATTTGAATCAAAATTGGTTTTCATATTTTACCTTAGAGGAATCTCTACTCCCTTTTACTACTTTATTCACTAACAGTTTCTGTCTGAAGAGTAAAACACAGTTTGATGAGGTTTTGTGCACAGTTGTTCGAGCTGCTTCTCCCCCCCCC